CAGCGATCCCAGTTGCTTGGAAGACTTCCAGACATCACTGTCGTGGGTGAGGTCAATCCATTCCGTTTTTTCTGTGTTGAGTTTTAGATGCCAGTCTGCGAATACATAGCTACAGACTAGTATGGGGAAATGAACAGACTTTCATTGTCCTTTTTGTTGAACCTTCGCATAGCATTCATGACGACACGAAAGTCCACCTCGCGTTACGGTTCGGGCGTCGAAAAACAGCTTGACTGAATGAGTGACCTGCAGCTCATGTCGAAATTTGGAGTTTTACGCCAAATTTGACGTGAAATTGCGCGTCATGGAGGAAATAACGTGCATCTTAATCTTAACCTTCGTTGGAACACTACTCGTACATGTACTCCTAGATATCCTGGCAATCAACTGAATGAAAACACTTATTGTGTCCGATGTGTAGTACTTGAACAGCTTTGCTCAGACAGTACAGTGTGCAGTGTGCAGTGTGCAGTGTACAGTTACCTCTCCAGTACATGTGCATCAAGCCAACTAAACTTGAACCCTACACACACACACACACACACACACACACACACACACACACACACACACACACACACACACACACACACACACACACACACAGACACACACACACACACACACAGACACACACACACACACTCTCTCTCTCTCTCCTCAAATCTGAAGTGGTCAAATCAAGTGGTCTCTTCGCTGCAGGTCTACGATTGTACTTTTGATCAAAGTATTGCAGTATCTGTGAGTTCGTCTCGCTCGTTATCAGTATTACATCTCCCTTTTGGTTTTATCTCTTCATACAATCATATCATATTATTATCATTGAAAAAACACTCTACATGTACATGTACACTGTATGTGTGCAGTTGTCAGTCTGAATGTTTGTAAAGTGCCGTGACGGAGAAGGGTTAGGTAGCTGCACTGCCACATCAACTGGCAGCACGCACTCACTGGTTCGCTGGCTACGGCCCGCTATCGCTATCAAGCTATGGCGGACAGGAAGACGTTTCTCCTGCTGCTAGCCTGTTTTCTTCAGGTGCTCATTTTACTGGCCGTGTTTACGCACGCTCCCATCAATACTAGTTATTTTTGGACACGCATATCCGAGCAGCGAAAATCCAGTGCGAGGCAGCCAGGTGATGATCCCCCAACGTTTGGGGAGAAGGTCGCACGCGACGATGTATTGTCCGGCAGGCCAGTGTCAGTTTGGAGTTCGCCACCCACTCACCGTCTGAATCTGAAAACCGCTGATAAGCAAGAAGCGGCTGCCAAGATGGACACTGAAGCGATCACGGATACTGTGGAAACCCCAGAGATGTCGCTTCGCGAACTCAAGCCAGCAGAGCCAAGCAGAGCCAGGCAGCCAGTGCAATCTCTTTCTCTTCTGCTAATTGTCAAGACAGGTCCGGACTATTTTCAGCGGCGACAAGACACCAGAAGACTATGGTTCTCACGCTGCACAAGTGGACAGCTTTATGGAAACAGATCTGATTTAACGCTGAAGAAACAGTGGATGATGAAACTAGTCACTGTGGAATGTCTTTTCCTGATAGGAACTTCAGCAGATGCCACTGTCATGACAAAACTAAAAGAAGAGATAGCACAGAATGGTGACGTGTTCCTAGCACCATTCGCTGACGGCTATGACCGAATGACTTCCAAGACCCAGTGGTCTCTGATGTGGAGTCTGCGTCGGGACAATCACTATGACTACCTGATGATGGTGGATGACGATGCGTACATTGTGTTTCATCACCTCATCCCCTGGCTGCTGAGCCAGCCCAGGCATGAGTTCTATTCTGGCCACTTGCACAAAAACAGAGGCATGATTCATTGCTCATCGAGCGCTAGTTCACGTCAGCGTCATCAGAATTGTGTTGATGGAAGTAGTCCCGTGTTCAAAGGTAAACGCCAGTACCCTCCTTTCGCCTCCGGCTTTGCCTATATCCTGTCACGTGACGTTGTCCAGCTCAGTGTCCAAGAGGTGGTGCGCTATGTCAGTGATGTTATCCCAGGTAACATTGAGGATGCCGTGCTGGGAACGCTCCTAAATGGGGCAGGTGTGAGTTTGCGTGACGAGAAAGGATTCGTGCACTGGGCTGATGAGCGTGGACGATGTCCAGCGAACGTCACGATAATTGTTGTCGGGAATGCCCGCGCTAACGATCTTGCCAAATTAGAAGAGAACGATCGAACAGGGAAAGCAATTTGCTTTGGACTCTAGAAATGGAGAACTGCATGTTAGAGTGAATGAACTGGAAAAACATTCAAATTTTTTTGTATACCATTATCACCATTACTTTCAGTGCATCTCATTCACATCTATATTTAAAATAGACACATGAGATCAATCATTAATCTTTGTTCACCTAATATGGTCTGTTCCTAATCCTTTCGGAGGATGATACGGTCGTCCAGGACGAGGTGCTCGCGACCATTCCAGTAAAGAGCTAGCGTGGGTACCAAGAGATGTTTGGCCCGAGGGAAACCATCCCGAACAAAGCCAACCAGCAGCTGATAATCAGGGTCAGCAGATGCAGCATCCTTGAGCTCATGGAATCTGACGTCGAACAGTTTTTTATATTAACTCGTGGTCCATGACCAATTGGCACGCAAAGTGTGAGAGAGGGGTGATAGCCAACCACGGCAAGAAAAGAAAAGAAAGGAAAGGATAAAAGAAAAAGAGAAGAAAGAAGTTGCGAACGAGCGTCTTCTTGCTGCAGGCAAGCATGAATAACTGGGTGAGATACGCGGGGTCTTCACCAAGCTCGTCGCCAAGAACGGGATCGCGAACGGGTTTACGGGAGAGTGCATCTGCGAAAGCCATTCAAGCTCAAGTGGGACGCAACCTTCCCCTGCCCCTGGTCCACAGTGCTTCTGGCGCATTCCGACCGCTTCTAGCCCGCTGCCGACTCTGGATTTGCCTGCCCGACTGTATGAAGTCGATAGTGTCTGTCCGTGAATTCCAACGCATGCTACGCGTATTTTACTTCGGTTAAATGTAATAGCTTTCGAATCCTGCCGATGAGGCTCGATAGCCTACCACACAAAGAAGAATTATTGAAACTGGTCAGAACACAAAGTGCTGGACGGAGCCTCAACTTATTGGACACAGACACTGGAAAAGTCTAACTTTGCTGAAATTCCGTAAAAACATTATTTATATGTTTATGAATGCCAAGCTCTACACTGCTGTGAGCAAAATTAATTATTATAACCATTTTTTGGATTCGATGTACATATATGGCAAGCAACACTTTGGGCAAAATATTGGATCAATATAAGCGTTTTTGAAAAATGACCATTTTTCCATGAAATTGGCCAGGAAACCAGGGTTTTCGGGCCAGTCGTCAAAAGGTAAAAAAAACCCACTGTACATGTATAATTTGAAACTCGGATGTTGAGCCAATAACAAAATAAATATAGAAAGGAAAAGGACGTATGGATGCGAGTTAAGAGTAACTCTCCATCACTGTAACCAGATACTATTATACAGTCAGAAAGTGCAACAACTAGGCGCAAAACTGACAGAGTACTGAGACATTCGACGTCCTGATACCTAGCCACAACACATCTCCGTAGCGCTAACCGACAGCCTTCCAACTTGAAAGGTTCAAGGTTATGGAAAGACCAAAGAGGGGAGGGAAAGCGCAACGAAAACGAGCACAAGCTACAGTGCCAACGGAACAAAGAATGTCGATTGTTACTGGACAATGACGAGACCAGTAGGATATTTGACAAAGCGGTCTAACTACAATTGGAAGCAGCAAAGCAGCACACCACCCAACTTGGGTGGGTCATAAATATCAAAGATAAGTAAAGAAGGGGGCAGCTTTGCGAAAACGAATTCTACAAGCCGAAAGCCAAACTCCTACAGTACTCCTCATGCATGACATTGTGATGGACTAGTTGACTACAAAACAAGTTGTTTCACACGACGTACGTTTCGCCATATGGTTCGTGACGGCTCATCGGGCGTGCAATTTGAAACTCGGATGTTGAGCCAATAATAAATGTAGAAAGGAAAAGGACATAATAAATTATGGATACGAGTACTGGTCTCGTCATCGTCCAGTAGCAATCGACATTCTTTGTTCCGTTGGGACTGTAGCTTGTGCTCGTTTTCGTTGCGCTTGCCTTCCCCTCTTTGGTCTTTTCATAACCTTGAACCTTCTAAGTTGGAAGGCTGTCGGTTAGCGCTACGGAGATGTGTTGAAGCTAGGTGTCAGGACGTCGAATGTCTCAGTACTCTGTCAGTTTTGTGCCTAGTTGTTGCACTTTCTGACTGTATATAGTATCTAGTTACAGTGATGGAGAGTTACTCTTAACTCGTATCCATATGTCCTTTTCCTTTCCACATGTACATGTACATGACTGTAAATTGTAGTATCTGTACAGTAGGTACTGTACGTTTGTATAGTGCCGTGACGGAGAAGGGTTAGGTAGCTGCACTGCCACATCAACTGGTAGCAGGCATTCGCTGGTTCACTGGCTACCGCCCGCTACCGCTACCAGGCTATGGCCCACAGGAAGACGTCTCTACTGCTGCTAGCCTGTTTTCTTCAGGTGCTCATTTTACTGGCCGTGTTTATGCACGCTCCCATAAATACTACCTATTTTTGGACACACCCATCCGAGCAGCAAAAGGCCAGTGCGAGGCAGCAAGGTGATGATCGCACAACGTTCGGGGAGAAGGTCGCACGCGACGATGTATTGTCGGGCAGACCGGTGCCAGTTATAAATGTAGAAAGGAAAAGGACATATGGATACGAGTACTGGTCTCGTCATCGTCCAGTAACAAACGACATTCTTTGTTCCGTTGGGACTGTAGCTTGTGCTCGTTTTCGTTGCGCTTGCCTTCCCCTCCTTAGTCTTTCCATAACCTTGAACCTTCCAAGTTGGAAGGCTGTCAGTTAGCGCTACGGAGATGTGTTGAAGCTAGGTGTCAGGACGTCGAATGTCTCAGTACTCTGTCAGTTTTGTGCCTAGTTGTTGCACTTTCTGACTGTATTATAGTATCTAGTTACAGTGATGGAGAGTTACTCTTAACTCGTATCCATATGTCCTTTCCCTTTCCACATGTACATGACTGTACATTGTAGTATCTGTACAGTAGGTACTGTACGTTTGTATAGTGCCGTGACGGAGAAGGGTTGAGTAGCTGCTGCACGTCAACTGGCAGCAGGCATTCGCTGGTTCGCTGGCTACCGCCCGCTATCGCTACCAGGCTATGGCCCACAGGAAGACGTTTCTCCTGCTGCTAGCCTGTTTTCTTCAGGTGCTCATTTTACTGGCCGTGTTTATGCACGCTCCAATCAATACTACTTATTTTTGGACACACCTATCCGAGCAGCCAAATGCCAGTGCGAGGCAGCAAGGTGATGATCGCACAACGTTCGGGGAGAAGGTCGCACGTGACGATGTATTGTCAGGCAGGCCAGTGTCAGTTTGGAGTTCGCCACCCACTCACCGTCTGAATATGAAAACCGCTGAAAAGCAAGAAGTGGCTGGCAAGATGGACACTGAAGCGATCACGGATACTGTGGAAACCCCAGAGATGTCGCTTAGCGAACTCAAGCCAGCCGAGCCAAGCAGAGTGAGGCAGCCAGTTCAATCTCTTTCTCTTTTGCTAATTGTCAAGACAGGCCCGGACTATTTCCAGCGGCGACAAGTCACCAGAAGACTATGGTTCTCACGCTGCACAAGTGGACAACTTTATGGAAACAGATCTGATTTAACGCTGAAGAAACAGTGGATGATGAAACAAGTCACTGTGGAATGTCTTTTCCTGATAGGAACTTCAGCAGATTTCACCGTCATGACAAAACTAAAAGAAGAGATTGCACAGAAAGGTGACGTGTTCCTGGCACCATTCGCGGATGGTTATGACCGAATGACTTCCAAGACCCAGTGGTCCCTGATGTGGAGTTTGCGTCGGGACAATCACTATGACTACCTGATGTTGGTGGATGACGATGCGTACGTTGTGTTTCGTCACCTCATCCCCTGGCTGCTGAGTCAGCCCAGACATGAGTTCTATTCTGGCCACTTGCACAAAAACAGAGGAATGATTAATTGCTCATCGAGCCCTAGTTCACGCCAGAGTCATCCGAATTGTGTTGATGGAAGTAGTCCCGTGTTCAAAGGTAAACGCCAGTACCCTCCTTTCGCCTCCGGCTTTGCCTATATCCTGTCACGTGACGTTGTCCAGGTCAGTGTCCAGGAGGTGGTGCGCTATGTCAGTGATGTTATCCCAGGTAACATTGAGGATGCCGTGCTGGGAACGCTCCTAAATGGGGCAGGTGTGAGTTTGCGTGACGAGAAAGGATTCGTGCACTGGGCTGATGAGCTTGGACGATGTCCAGTGAACGTCACCATTATTGTTGTCGGGAATGCCCGCGCTAACGATCTAGCCAAATTAGAAGAGAACGATCGAACAGGGAAACCAATTTGCTTTGGACTCTAGACCTGGAGAACTGCATGTTAGAGTGAATGTACTTGAAAAACATTCAACATTTTTGTGTACCATTATCACCCATGCTTTCAGTGCGTCTCATTTATATCTATATTACAATAGCCGCATGAGATCAACCATGAACCACTGTTCACCTAATATGGTCTGCTCCGAATCCCTTCGGAGGATGATACCTAATATGGTCTGTTCCGAATCCCTTCCCAATGGGGAATTTCCCGCAACTAGTACACTGGCTTGATCCACATCCAGTCATCCAGTCATCCAGTCATCCAGTCATCCAGTCATACCACATCCAGTCATACAGTCATCCAGTCATCTAGTCATCCAGTCATCCAGTCATACAGTCATCCAGTCATCCAGTCATCCAGTCATCCAGTCATCCAGTCATCCAGTCATCCAGTCATCCAGTCATCCAATCATCCAGTCATCCAGTCATCCAGTCATCCAGTCATACAGTCATCCAGTCATACCACATCCAGTCATACAGTCATCCAGTCATCTAGTCATCCAGTCATCCAGTCATACAGTCATCCAGTCATCCAGTCATACAGTCATACAGTTAGGCTTGTCCACAAAATGTTTTCAATTATTTTTGAATTTTGGTTGGATTTTTGCACTTTGAATTTTTTTGGAATTTTGGCCCCATCAGGATTGAATTTTGGCCGTTTTTGGAGAACGACAGTGATGTCACATCAAGAGAGTACATGTGCTGCTCAATATATTACCAAGTTTGACATGTGAAAACAGTACTTTCAAATACACACACCTTTGACCTTTTGACACCCATCCCCGAATTTGGAAGCACACAGACACAGATGATCAGCAGTTTGTGGATTTTTTGGTTTTTTTGGAACTATTGGGTACTAGTACTGTAAAAACCATGGCAACGGATCGAATTTTTCTGCATTTTGGGGGATTTTTTGAATTTTCTTGAAACATTTTGACCGTTTTTTCGCTTTTTGAATTTAAATTTTGGACAAAATAATTCGCATGATGTGGCCACCCTTACATACAGTCATACAGTCATCCAGTCATCCAGTCATCCAGTCATCCAGTCATCCAGTCATCCAGTCATCCAGTCATCCAGTCATCCAGTCATCCAGTCATCCAGTCATCCAGTCATCCAGTCATCCAGTCATCCAGTCATCCAGTCATCCAGTCATCCAGTCATACAGTCATACAGTCATCCAGTCATCCAGTCATACAGTCATCCAGTCATACAGTCATCCAGTCATCCAGTCATACAGTCATACAGTCATACAGTCATACAGTCATCCAGTCATACAGTCATCCAGTCATACAGTCATACAGTCATACAGTAGTTCACATAACTATTATGCTTGAGGACTGTATGAGTAAACCAACCCAAATAGCAGATCTTGCTGAGCTTGTTCTACTCCGTGAATCAAGAACTCGGTACGGGTCATGAGGGCAAGTCGTACATGTCCTGAGGAGAGTGACGTAGTGTGCTCGTGCTTATAATAGCGAGCAGCAATGTGATAGTGTGGTCAGAAACCTGGCAAGAGAAACAAGAGGAGTATGCAAGAATCTAGAAGAAGGTTCCGGAACATGGACCAGCGCCTAGAATATGCTATGGCAAGTGCCATGCAAGAGTTAAATATCGCATGTTACAGATGTTCAGGATGGCAATAAACAGACTCAGCTGAAGCGTCATGTTACGAAGGTTTTATTGAGGTGTCACGAACAAATTCTAGAGAAAGTGGTGATGCACAAAGAAATAACTATGATGGAAATGTATTGTGAAGAGCAATAATAGAAACGATTGAAAAATATAAAAATGCATCGGACTAGCTTTCGCCCAACGCTCATCAAGAAGGATTGTACGAATTTTAAAATTAACAAATTGCAACACAGACCATTATAATAACACCTAAACAATGCCAAAAATGTATCACAAGGTTTTCTTGCAAGATACCATGTGCGTGAAAGATGACAATCAAATACTCCAAGGGAACAAAGTTGAAGTATTGAAGTATGAAACAAAACTAGTGAGAAAACGCTGGCCAGACAAGGCCAGACTAACAACATGGTACTGGTTGAACAAATTTCAAAAACATAATACTCTCCTTTTGAACGCAAAGGTAAGGCTTATAATGAATGCGTTGGAAAACAGCCTCCAACACTTTCACCTGTAACTGATAACCATAACGTCCCCGACACAAAGCGGAGAAACATGAATCAGAATACACTTGGCAACATTCAGGACGAGATACCAAAATGATTGTACACAGAAGACTTACGAGGTCGAAACACACGCGCACACTCACTCTCACACCCTCCCATACCCACGCTCTCTCCCTCACTCAACTCACCGCTAGAATCTCCTCCGTCAGTGCCGTTTCCGTCATCGTCCTCATCGTTGGCGGTCAAGTGCAGTGTTGCCATCACGCTGGGTCTCCTCTTTTGTCGTTGTTGTTTGCCGGTATCATAGTTCATACTGTGATTAGCTGTTGAACGTCTTGGTCTTTGAGAAGTTGATGTTGTAGTCTGCTCCGATATTGGCGACGGTAAGGTTTGGTCAGATGGTCGTGGTATTGGCAAGGCTCGCTTTTTCACAAAGCTGGATGCCCGACACGGATACTGGTATCTTGGGCACCCTGTAAGAAGACCTTAGAGTGTGTTGGGAATGCCCAAGTAAAGTCATAAAATACAATACAATGCAATACTTGCAAATTCCACTAGAACCGAAGTCCCAGGAGATGACGACATTCATCACGCAGTGGGGTCGGTACCAGTACCTGTCTTGCGCAACCCCCAGGGCTAAACCTCAGCTGGCGATGAGTTCAATGTTCGCACCGATTCTGCGTTCGCCGACATCCGCCAGTTCGCCAAAGTGGTTGATGACTGTCTGGTCTACACTGATTCGATCGATGAGTAACTCGCAAGAACTCGCGAAGTGCTACTCAGAGCTCGTAACCATCGCCTTACTCTGTCTGCCAAGAGGTTTCAATTCGCCCAGAGGGCCAGAGTGAAATCAACTTCTGTGCAGATGTGGCTACATCATCGTCGATCATTTTGTATAATTTTTGTATACTTTATTTAAAGGATTCCCCAGAGGCTGTTCAGGCCTATCGGGGGGGGGGGGCGGGAGGGGTCTCTATTCTGTGCAGTTAGGATGAGAATATGAGAATACAAAAATGAGCAGAGAAGGAGAAATAACACGACGAATAGGACAACTGGGAGTGATCATACTATTATTTGAAGTATGCAGTTCTCTTTTAAACTCAGCAATATTTATGATGGAGGTTATGGTAGGGGGCAGACAGTTCCACAGAGTGCCTGCCTGAAACACAAATATAGAAGATACATAGAAGATTGTATGCCGCCGTGACCATGGAAGACTAGTTTGTTCGGACGGCGCTCACTTTTAATAACGGTAAATGGGGTGAGAATGGATGTATCTATTCTTAAAAGACACTAGTAAAGATGGTGACCAGTGAAAGAAACTGGCGTCTAAAGTGAAGGGATAGAATACGTCATAGCCTAGTTAGATTTTCTTTAGTTTCAAATTCATCAAAGGCTGTGTTACTGGACTTTAAAATGGATCTACACATCTCTCTAGCTCGAAGTACATCAAGGCTAGTTAGGTGCTCAGTGACTTAATCTATAAGTCTACACTGGAATGGCGTCCTCAGTTGCAGGGCACACGTACCCCTTATAGAGGAGGGTGATATAAAAGTGGCGTAAATGACGGCCCATATAGCAGAGTGGGTTATCTCTTTGCTGGAACTTTCTGAAAAACGATTGCAAAATGCTATAGGTCAGGGCTTAGCTCTACACCAACGTAAAGTTAACTACAGAAGTGGCTGACGAATTGGAATATTGTCCATACGGATTGGTGCTGGTGTAGGGAGTTGGTAGTTGCAGAGGGAAGAAGTCTTCTCCGGAAAGAACTCACCATGGACGCTCCTGGTCCATTGCTGGCAACTGTTGAGCTCCTGCTGGACGTAAGACCGATTCTCATCAAGGAATAGTGCCCGGTGATGAGCATACAGAAGAGTCACATCGTCTGCAAACAGAATGGGGCTACTATGGTGGAGACTATCAGGGAGGGTGTTAACATACAGTGGAAAGAGTGGAGGGGCAAGGCGCGATACAGTGGAAAGAGTGGAGGGGCAAGGCGCGATACAGTGGAAAGAGTGGAGGGGCAAGGCGCGATACAGTGGAAAGAGTGGAGGGGCAAGGCGCGATACAGTGGAAAGAGTGGAGGGGCAAGGCGCGATACAGTGGAAAGAGTGGAGGGGCAAGGCGCGATACAGTGGAAAGAGTGGAGGGGCAAGGCGCGATACAGTGGAAAGAGTGGAGGGGTAAGGCGCGATACAGTGGAAAGAGTGGAGGGGCAAGGCGCGATACAGTGGAAAGAGTGGAGGGGCAAGGCGCGATACAGTGGAAAGAGTGGAGGGGCAAGGCGCGAAACAGTGGAAAGAGTGGAGGGGTAAGGCGCGATACAGTGGAAAGAGTGGAGGGGCAAGGCGCGATACAGTGGAAAGAGTGGAGGGGCAAGGCGCGATACAGTGGAAAGAGTGGAGGGGTAAGGCGCGATACAGTGGAAAGAGTGGAGGGGTAAGGCGCGATACAGTGGAAAGAGTGGAGGGGTAAGGCGCGATACAGTGGAAAGTGTGGAGGGGTAAGGCGCGATACAGTGGAAAGAGTGGAGGGGCAAGGCGCGATACAGTGGAAAGAGTGGAGGGGCAAGGCGCGATACAGTGGAAAGAGTGGAGGGGTAAGGCGCGATACAGTGGAAAGAGTGGAGGGGCAAGGCGCGATACAGTGGAAAGAGTGGAGGGGTAAGGCGCGATACAGTGGAAAGAGTGGAGGGGTAAGGCGCGATACAGTGGAAAGAGTGGAGGGGTAAGGCGCGATACAGTGGAAAGAGTGGAGGGGGAAGGCGCGATACAGTGGAAAGAGTGGAGGGGTAAGGCGCGATACAGTGGAAAGAGTGGAGGGGTAAGGCGCGACACAGTGGAAAGAGTGGAGGGGCAAGGCGCGATACAGTGGAAAGAGTGGAGGGGTAAGGCGCGATACAGTGGAAAGAGTGGAGGGGCAAGGCGCGATACAGTGGAAAGAGTGGAGGGGCAAGGCGCGATACAGTGGAAAGAGTGGAGGGGCAAGGCGCGATACAGTGGAAAGAGTGGAGGGGTAAGGCGCGATACAGTGGAAAGAGTGGAGGGGCAAGGCGCGATACAGTGGAAAGAGTGGAGGGGTAAGGCGCGATACAGTGGAAAGAGTGGAGGGGTAAGGCGCGATACAGTGGAAAGAGTGGAGGGGCAAGGCGCGATACAGTGGAAAGAGTGGAGGGGTAAGGCGCGATACAGTGGAAAGAGTGGAGGGGCAAGGCGCGATACAGTGGAAAGAGTGGAGGGGCAAGGCGCGATACAGTGGAAAGAGTGGAGGGGCAAGGCGCGATACAGTGGAAAGAGTGGAGGGGCAAGGCGCGATACAGTGGAAAGAGTGGAGGGGCAAGGCGCGATACAGTGGAAAGAGTGGAGGGGTAAGGCGCGATACAGTGGAAAGAGTGGAGGGGCAAGGCGCGATACAGTGGAAAGAGTGGAGGGGCAAGGCGCGATACAGTGGAAAGAGTGGAGGGGCAAGGCGCGATCCCTGAGGAACTCCACTGGTGACGGAATGAGTCTCGGAGATGGTCTGCTCTATCTTCACTTGAAGCTTTCTGTGGTTTAAATAGCTCTGGAACCATTTAACTGTGGAGTGATCCATGCATCGTTCTAGACATTTGATGAGTGTTGGGTGATGGACCTTATCAAATGCTTTCCGGAAATCTAGGAAAACACAGATCACACCCGCTGGACAGTCGACCCAGAGAAAACGTATGCCATCCGAGATTTTGGAGCACCAGTTAATCGCACCGACCTGCGAGCATTCATGGGACTAATGAATCAGTGCAGCGACTTCAATTCCTCCATTGCTGAGCACGCTGCTCCTCTACGCGGTCTCCTGAAACCTCCAATGAGTTCCTCTGGGCATCCGGAACACACAACTGCTATGAATGCCACCAAAGAAGCGCTGCTTGACCCACCGTCGCTCGCTCACTTTGATCCTACCGCTCCAACACGTCTTGAGTGTGATGCAGCCCGCACCAAAGGCCTTGGGCTTGGTCTCTGGCAACTGCCAGATGGCTCGTGGCGTCTCACACAATTCGGCAGCCGCTTTCTGTCTGACACAGAAACACGATATGACATGATCGAGCTCGAACTGTTCGGCGTGGCCTGGGCTGTTCAGAAATGCCACATCTTCCTCGCCGGTATGCCCTTCCAGGTCATTGTTGACCATCAGCCACTTGTTCTGATTCTGCACACGTACACGTTAGATCAGATTGAGAACCCGCGTCTTCAGCGTCTGGTAGCCAAGGTTACCCAGTATCAGCTCTCTGTGTCTTGGCGTAAAGGAGCAGATCATGCTTTGTTGTTGTCGTTGTTGTCGTTGTTATTTATTTATTTTACATCGCATGTCAAACGGGCAGTTCTGCCCAATATTGTGAAAGCGATGACAACCAGTAAGAAGAGTCAGAAATGAAGAGAAAAAAATAAAAATACGAAAATACGAAAATGGAAGTAGCAATGAGGGGAGGCAGGGTTAGGACGAGCAGAAAAAGAGATCTCAAATTTACAAGTTGGGTCATCGTAGCATGATGCTATCGAGCCTGATCAGCAGGTTACGAAAGCCATTACATTGAACCAAAGTAAAATACGCGTAGCATGCGTTTGAATTCACACAGGCAGACACTATCGACTTCATACAGTCGGGCAGGCAAATCCAGAGTCGGCAGCGGCAACTTCTTCTCTTTTTCTTTAGTTCTTTCCTTTCTTTTTTTTTTCTTGCCGTGGTTGGCTATCACCCCTCTCTCGCACGATGCATGCCAGTTGGTAGGCCTGGGAGGATAATGCTAGCATGATAAGTAGCATTATAGTGTGCGATATGCAACGAACATTACGCTAGCATTATTATTATTATTTTATTATTTAAACACACGGCGAGGAGACAATAATTTGATAACCGCAATCAATAAAACTAGCTGAACCGACATTTGTGTACTTTATTCATGCAATGTAAAAACGGTGGAGACGATGTGCAATAAAACGATGAAAATATGAAGAAATGGTGTAGGGAAAAATATATGGATTCAAACAAGTTTTCGTACAACACTCATCAGGAATCGTCGTTGTACTAAAGGACACTGAAACAAAAATTGAACTATTATAGAAAATCTAAGTTACAGAAATAACACTAAGAGCAACAACAGTGAAATTTACAAGTGTGAATTTTAACAATCAAAGCGAGAAATGAACAAAGGAGAAAGGAAGGAAAGACAACGTGATAACACATAACAGCAGTACATTACACCTAGAACATTAACGGCCCAGCTTGGCCGCACTAAACACGACACGTTACTTGAACAATTTCAACCCAATTATACTATCTTTCTGTACACACAAATTAGGTTTGTACAGACGCTGATAGATAGCTTCCAACACTTTTAACTGTAGTCCATAACCATGACGACCACGGCACAATACAGCGAACGAAGAGTCGGAATACGAATTGCAACAATCAGGACTAGCTAGCAGATGATTGTACACTGAAGACTTGCCACCACGAAACCTACGCACAACACTAACACTCTCACCGGCATTCTCACCATCACTCCCATCACTGCTCTCCGACTCACTGCTCCTTCCGCCGTCCGCTCCATCCTCCGCTTCCTCTGTACTCTCTCTGTCTCGTCCATCCCGCCTGACCGGGTCCATTGAAGTCAACTCGGCCGTCACCCTGCTATCACATCCCTCCTTTCGCCCTTGTCCGCTGAGTGCGTAGCTTCTGTTGTAGTTGGCTGTTGATCGTCTTGGTCTTTCAATTGTGGGCTTGGATGGTGGATTAGTTGTGGTTGCTGTAGATTGCGTTGTTGGTGTTGGTGTGGGAGCTACTGATATGCAAGGTGGGTCTTTTTGAGTCGGCATTTGTAGTGTTAATGCAGCTGTCAGTGTTGCTCGCGGTCTCCCACTGGCAAGCTCCACCGCCGCAAGAACCGATGGTGGAGGATCAGGAGGAGGCAGTGGGACCGGGACCGCAAGCGGCACCACCTCAGCCAAAGCCGCCGGGGGCACTGACGAGGGAACCACCGACGGCCGGAGCAAAGGCGGCGACACAAGCCGACCCGATGAGCCACCACGCCCATTCTCCTCCCCCACCGCCACCAGCGACGGCGGAGCAAGCACAGTCCGTGAGCCAGGGTCCGCGGGTTGTGTAGGCAACGGCTGTGTGGTTATTGGTTGTTTTCTAGGTCGCCCTCGCTTCGGTCTTTGTTGTTGTGCGCAAGGTGGAAGTATGTGACGTGGTGTGTGTTGTTTGATGCGTGCGTTCAGGTGCTGAACAGTCCTACCAACATACCGACTAGCGCATTGTCGGCATTCAAAGTTGTAAATAAGATGACTTAGGTGATGGGCTGGTAGGACATCCTTCCGCACCGTAAACTCACGCATCGTCGTAAAGACGGGCACAAAGTGTACTGCGTAGTATGTTCGACGAACAACAGACTTGACTGCACTACAAACTTTAGTCGACTCCTGCCCTTTCCACGGCAAACATAAATAAACGGGACAACGAGCAGGACCAATCATAGGAGCCTTCGTAGTTTGTTCGACTTTCAACAACTTCTGCAACAAAAACTCAGGGTACCCGTTCTTGACAAAAACTGACCGGAGAAAATCAAGCTCTTCCTGCAGCTTACAGGACGAACAAATACGCTTCGCACGATCTACAAGGTTACGCACTAAGTTTACTTTATATTGAGACGAACAATAAGAGTCATATACAATGTACTGACCAGTAAACGTCGGCTTTCGATAAACGGTGGTCAGAACGTCACTACTCGTTTTTTCCACAAGCACATCTAGAAATGACAATTTGTTGGACTGTTCATGCTCACATGTAAAACGAAGGGCAGGGTGAATACTATTTACCACGTCAAGAAACTCGTTACTACGCTCCTCATTATCAAAATATGTGAAGGAGTCGTCCACGAAACGTACATAAAGGTCAGGCCACAATGAATCATCAATTTTCGACTCACAGTAACCGACAAACACGTTTGCCAATACCGGACCAAGGGGCGAACCCATCGCAACACCATCGACTTGTTTGTACATGACATTGTTGAACGAAAACTCAACACCAGTTGTGACCAGCAACAACAACCGTCTAAACGCACTTTCAGATATCCAAGGAGTGTCAACGTCATCATTACGGTACAAAACATCCATGCAGATGTCGACAGTTTCTTCAATCGGCACATTAGTAAATAAACTGACGACGTCAAACGAACACATGTGTGCATTGGGTGGTACAGGCTTGTTGCGGAGCTTCTCGACGAAATCAAAACTGTCTTTTACAGTGCGCTTGCAGTAGTGGTCCTGCACTGGTTGTAAGTAAATACACAGCCACTTGGAAATAGAATATTGGGGTGAAGCCGTCATGGAAACGATGGGACGTACTGGACATGTGGGCTTGTGTATTTTTGGTAAGCCATATAGCTTAGGCCGGAGGGTGCCTGTCGGTTTAATGCGATCGAAATCATTTGAGAATATTTCACCGTCGTCTTTCAGTTTCTTTAGGTAAGCTACTAGTTCTTTTTCTACTTTCTCTGTTCGATCAAAACTTTCAACTGGGCCGAGGGTCTGGAACTTTGATGTGTCATTTAAGATGACAGACATCTTGTCGATGTAATCGGTTCTGAGCATCAGAACTGTAGCCCGCCCTTTGTCCGGGCGCGTGACGATGATTTCCGTGTTTTTGCGGAAGTCACGGAGGGCTTTCATGTGTTCCTGGCCTAAGGAAAATGATCGCTTATCTGGAAGTTTGTCCGCATGCTCCTCAGCCTCAGCTCGGATCTTTGCTGCGCATATTGATTGCTGGGCCTCTGATGTCGGCGTAAAACGTAATAACTTTCGATAAAACAATTCAAACTCGGTCATGATAACTTCCTTTTTATTTGATGATGGGGGAACGCCAAAATCAGTGCCACGGCAAAGGAGCTCCTTCTGAACGGTAGTCAATTCCAATGGTGTGAAGTTTATTATTGTTGTTTCAGGATCGATGTTAACTTGGCCGTAACGTTTCCTTCTGAGCCAGTTATATGTCTTGTCATGTTTGGTGATAAGTTTGACTCGTTGTTTCTGGTCGTTCTCAGAAAGGAGCACTGAGAAACGAAGGAAGTCATGAGATGACAAAAATGTACGTGCACGATCATACAAGGACCTAAACTGGGAACGAGACTTGCACACCGTGTCACCGGACCTGGCAATCTCATCCTTCATGAACACTCGCTCGATGTTCAACGTGTGGTATGCCTTGGCTCGGTGAACACGCTTTTCTACACCGCTAGGACATACGCCATTGTCTAAACACTGTCTAAGAAAAACTACATTAAGGGCGACACTACGGTAATGAAAACGTGCTTTCAGCGTTAGATTCAGAACATCTATCTGAGGCTGGGTGTATCTCGATTTAAAATATTTAAACACACGGCGAGGAGACAATAATTTGATAACCGCAATCAATAAAACTAGCTGAACCGACATTTGTGTACTTTATTCATGCAATGTAAAAACGGTGGAGACGATGTGCAATAAAACGATGAAAATATGAAGAAATGGTGTAGGGAAAAATATATGGATTCAAACAAGTTTTCGTACAACACTCATCAGGAATCGTCGTTGTACTAAAGGACACTGAAACAAAAATTGAACTATTATAGAAAATCTAAGTTACAGAAATAACACTAAGAGCAACAACAGTGAAATTTACAAGTGTGAATTTTAACAATCAAAGCGAGAAATGAACAAAGGAGAAAGGAAGGAAAGACAACGTGATAACACATAACAGCAGTACATTACACCTAGAACATTAACGGCCCAGCTTGGCCGCACTAAACACGACACGTTACTTGAACAATTTCCACCCAATTATACTATCTTTCTGTACACACAAATTAGGCTTGTACAGACGCTGATAGATAGCTTCCAACACTTTTAACTGTAGTCCATAACCATGACGACCACGGCACAATACAGTGAACGAAGAGTCGGAATACGAATTGCAACAATCAGGACTAGCTAGCAGATGATTGTACACTGAAGACTTGCCACCACGAAACCTACGCACAACACTAACACTCTCACCGGCATTCTCACCATCACTCCCATCACTGCTCTCCGACTCACTGCTCCTTCCGCCGTCCGCTCCATCCTCCGCTTCCTCTGTACTCTCTCTGTCTCGTCCATCCCGCCTGACCGGGTCCATTGAAGTCAACTCGGCCGTCACCCTGCTATCACATCCCTCCTTTCGCCCTTGTCCGCTGAGTGCGTAGCTTCTGTTGTAGTTGGCTGTTGATCGTCTTGGTCTTTCAATTGTGGGCTTGGATGGTGGATTAGTTGTGGTTGCTGTAGATTGCGTTGTTGGTGTTGGTGTGGGAGCTACTGATATGCAAGGTGGGTCTTTTTGAGTTGTTGAAAGTCGAACAAACTACGAAGGCTCCTATGATTGGTCCTGCTCGTTGTCCCGTTTATTTATGTTTGCCGTGGAAAGGGCAGGAGTCGACTAAAGTTTGTAGTGCAGTCAAGTCTGTTGTTCGTCGAACATACTACGCAGTACACTTTGTGCCCGTCTTTACGACGATGCGTGCGTTTACGGTGCGGAAGGATGTCCTACCAGCCCATCACCTAAGTCATCTTATTTACAACTTTGAATGCCGACAATGCGCTAGTCGGTATGTTGGTAGGACTGTTCAGCACCTGAACGCACGCATCAAACAACACACACCACGTCACATACTTCCACCTTGCGCACAACAACAAAGACCGAAGCGAGGGCGACCTAGAAAACAACCAATAACCACACAGCCGTTGCCTACACAACCCGCGGACCCTGGCTCACGGACTGTGCTTGCTCCGCCGTCGCTGGTGGCGGTGGGGGAGGAGAATGGGCGTGGTGGCTCATCGGGTCGGCTTGTGTCGCCGCCTTTGCTCCGGCCGTCGGTGGTTCCCTCGTCAGTGCCCCCGGCGGCTTTGGCTGAGGTGGTGCCGCTTGCGGTCCCGGTCCCACTGCCTCCTCCTGATCCTCCACCATCGGTTCTTGCGGCGGTGGAGCTTGCCAGTGGGAGACCGCGAGCAACACTGACAGCTGCATTAACACTACAAATGCCGACTCAAAAAGACCCACCTTGCATATCAGTAGCTCCCACACCAACACCAACAACGCAATCTACAGCAACCACAACTAATCCACCATCCAAGCCCACAATTGAAAGACCAAGACGATCAACAGCCAACTACAACAGAAGCTACGCACTCAGCGGACAAGGGCGAAAGGAGGGATGTGATAGCAGGGTGACGGCCGAGTTGACTTCAATGGACCCGGTCAGGCGGGATGGACGAGACAGAGAGAGTACAGAGGAAGCGGAGGATGGAGCGGACGGCGGAAGGAGCAGTGAGTCGGAGAGCAGTGATGGGAGTGATGGTGAGAATGCCGGTGAGAGTGTTAGTGTTGTGCGTAGGTTTCGTGGCGGCAAGTCTTCAGTGTACAATCATCTGCTAGCTAGTCCTGATTGTTGCAATTCGTATTCCGACTCTTCGTTCACTGTATTGTGCCGTGGTCGTCATGGTTATGGACTACAGTTAAAAGTGTTGGAAGCTATCTATCAGCGTCTGTACAAGCCTAATTTGTGTGTACAGAAAGATAGTATAATTGGGTTGAAATTGTTCAAGTAACGTGTCGTGTTTAGTGCGGCCAAGCTGGGCCGTTAATGTTCTAGGTGTAATGTACTGCTGTTATGTGTTATCACGTTGTCTTTCCTTCCTTTCTCCTTTGTTCATTTCTCGCTTTGATTGTTAAAATTCACACTTGTAAATTTCACTGTTGTTGCTCTTAGTGTTATTTCTGGAACTTAGATTTTCTATAATAGTTCAATTTTTGTTTCAGTGTCCTTTAGTACAACGACGATTCCTGATGAGTGTTGTACGAAAACTTGTTTGAATCCATATATTTTTCCCTACACCATTTCTTCATATTTTCATCGTTTTATTGCACATCGTCTCCACCGTTTTTACATTGCATGAATAAAGTACACAAATGTCGGTTCAGCTAGTTTTATTGATTATTTTATTATTATTATTATATATATTTGAGGATTTCCCAAAGACGTAGTTATAACGCTACATTTCCACAAAAGTGGCATTATACTCAAATATGGAAGTTTTGGCCGCTACAAAAAATGGACCGTTACATGCCTTGTACATAGAACTGCACAACCTGCATAGGATTGTCCAAACTAAGCCATTTTCCATGCATACTATTGCGGTTTTGCTGGCATTATGGAGCAATAGCAGCATAAAATTAGCATTATGACCATGATTTTCTAGCATTTTCCGTGCCGTCTACGTAGAACTACGAAACGTGCACAATACTGCCCAAATCAAGCCATTTTCCATACTTTCTACTGGTGAATTGCTGGCATTACATAGGAACAGCAGCATTATAAGTAGCATTATGATACAGTTTTTCTGGCATTGCCATTAGCATTATCCAGCAAAAATAACTAGCATTATCCGCCCAGGCCCATGGACCACGAGTTGAGTGAAATAAATATAAAAAACTGCTCGACGTCAGATTCCATGAGCTCAAGGATGCTGCATCTGCTGACCCTGATTATCAGCTGCTGGTTGGCTTTGTTCGGGATGGTTTCCATCGGGTCAAACATCTCTTGCCACCCACGCTAGCTCCTTACTGGAATGGTCGCGAGCACCTCGTCCAGGACGACGGTATCATCCTCCAAAGGAATTCGGAACAGACCATGTTAGGTGAACAAAGACTTATGGTTGATCTCATATGGCTATTGGAATTTAGATTTGAATGAGACGCACAGAAAGCACGGGTGATAATGGTATACAAAAAACTTTGAATGTTAATTCATTCACTCTAACATGAAGTTCTCCAGGTCTAGAGTCCAAAGCAAATTGCTTTCCCGGTTCGATCGTTCTCTTCTAATTTGGCAAGATCGTTAGCGCGGGCATTCCCGACAACAATTATGGTGACGTTCGCTGGACATCGTCCACGCTCATCAGCCCAGTGCACGAATCCTTTCTCGTCACGCAAACTCACACCGGCCCCATTTAGGAGCGTTCCCAGCACGGCATCCTCAATGTTACCTGGGATAACATCACTGACATAGCGCACCACCTCCTGGACACTGAGCTGGACAACGTCACGTGACAGGATATAGGCAAAGCCGGAGGCGAAAGGAGGGTACTGGCGTTTACCTTTGAACACGGGACTACTTCCATCAACACAATTCTGATGACGCTGGCGTGAACTAGCGCTCGATGAGCAATGAATCATGCCTCTGTTTTTGTGCAAGTGGCCAGAATAGAACTCGTGCCTGGGCTGGCTCAGCAGCCAGGGGATGAGGTGATGAAGCACAATATACGCGTCATCATCCACCATCATCAGGTAGTCATAGTGATTGTCCCGACGCAGACTCCACATCAGAGACCACTGGGTCTTGGACGTCATTCGGTCATAACCGTCAGCGAATGGTGCTAGGAACACGTCACCTTTCTGTGCAATCTCTTCTTTTAGTTTTCTCATGACAGTGGCATTTGCTGAATTTCCTATCAGGAAAAGACATTCCACAGTGACTAGTTTCATCATCCACTGTTTCTTCAGCGTTAAATCAGATCTGTTTCCATAAAGCTGTCCACTTGTGCAGCGTGAGAACCATAGTCTTCTGGTGACTTGTCGCCGCTGGAAATAGTCCGGGCCTGTCTTGACAATTAGCAGAAGAGAAAGAGATTGAACTGGCTGCCTGGCTGTTCTTGGCTCGGCTGGCTTGAGTTCGCGATGCGACATATCTGTGCTTTCCACTGTATCCATGATCACTTCCGTCTCCATCTTGGCAGGCGCTTTTTGCTTACCATCGGCTTTCATATTTAGTCGTTGAGTGGGTGGCGAACTCCAAACTGGTACTGGTCTGCCTGACCATACACCGTTGCGTGCGACCTTCTCCCCAAACGTTGGGGGATCATCACCTGGCTGCTTCGCACTGGATTTTCGCTGCTCGGATACGTGTGTCCAAAAATAACTAGTATTGATGGGAGCGTGCGTAAACACGGCCAGTAAAATGAGCACCTGAAGAAAACAGGCTAGCAGCAGGAGAAACGTCTTCCTGTGGGCCATAGCTTGATAGCGATAGCGGGCCGTAGCCAGCGAACCAGCGAGTGCGTGCTGCCAGTTGATGTGGCAGTGCAGCTACCTAACCCTTCTCCATCACGGCACTTTACAAACATAAAGACTGACAACTGGACACATGCTGCAATGTATGCATGTGCAGTGTGTTTTTTAATGATAATATTAATATTATTATGATTGTATGAAGAGATAAACCAAAAGAGATATACTGTACTAGAGAGGTTTAGCAACTTGTGAACGAGTCGACCTCTCTACGAGTCGGTGGCAGGGAGCCCTACATACATTGGTATGCGTAGGGCCGCCTGGTCGGTGGTCGACTCGGGTGCCTGGGTTCGAGTCTCGTTGTGTGCTGTGTGCTTGTACTCGTAGGGCCGAACGAATCAACTGCCCCTGATTCGTGCGAAACGAGCCCCGATTGCAGCACACAACGAGACTCGAACCCAGGCACCCGAGTCGACCACCGACCAGGCGGCCCCACGCATACCAATGTATGTAGGGCTCCCTGCCACCGACTCGTAGAGAGGTCGACTCGTTCACAAGTTGCTAAAACTCTCTAATAATACTGATTACGAGCGAGACGAACTCACAGATACTGCAATACTTTGATCAAGAGTACACACACCTGCTGCGAAGAGACCACTTGATTTGACCACTTACTGTAAAGGCCATTATTCTAACGAGGTGCATATATAACGATTTCCCAAAATTGACTGGTTTACGTGTACCAAAGGTAACGATTCTGTCTCATCCTCAACGCTCAATAGGACAGTATGGATTTCTGTATAACGATTTCTATTGTAACGACAGATTGCTCCTCGTTAACTCGTTAGAGTTAGCACTTCGTTATTATTGGTTTTACAGTATGAGCAGAAAGGCACAGTGGGTTGGTCTAAGACCATGATTGAAAAACGAGAGGTACCAGGTTCAAGTCCTGCTTGGAAGCGGAAGGATTTTCCAACCGTGCTGCGACCCACAGTTAATTGGGAACTCTTGGCCTGGTATGAGTAATACACGGATATGGCAAATGGGATCGAGGCCTTTGGCCTCTGGTTGGTGGATCTGGTCTATCCTCCCCCACCGTTTAGGAGCCGCATCTGACGCCTGATCATGGGGTGGTGGCGTCCCACCGAAGCGGAAAGGTGGTTCTTGACCAGGGAGTTGTACGACTCCTTGTTCTTGACCTGCCCGGTACGCGAACCCCGTCGAAAAAAACAGTATCATTTGAGCCGAGGGGTGTGTGTGTGTGTGTGTCTGTACGTGTGCGTGTGTAAATGGGAGGAAAGAGCAACTGAAGCCGATCCATGAACAGTCCGGTGCTGTGTTGTGCAAAACGTGCCATCGTTGGTTTGCTAGCCTAGGTGGATTTGCTGTGCACAGCTGCTCTCCCAGCCTTGGTGACGCTCCAGTTCCAGAAATAGTTGCACCGCGCCCACCTGATTGCAGCCAATGTCAGTACCATTGCCACACATGTGACCGCTGTTTCCGGAGCAAAGCTGGGCACCGCCGTCACAACTGCAACCGCAGAACATGCAACTCTGGCTCCGAGCACGGCACTATCCCATGCCCGACTTGCTCTCGGAAGTTCACACGTCTCCAGTACCTGGCTCAACACAAATGCAAGAAGTAACTCTGCCCTCCTTGCCTCTTTGAGGCACTGCATCACCTTTAGGTGGCAGTTTCAAGGTTCAAGGTGTGTGCGTGCGTGTGTGTGTGTGTGTTTGTTTGTTTGTGTGTGTGTGTAATATTAAAACGTGTTTACTTTGTGAACACGTGCTTGAAAAGTACGCATGGCTTTACTGAGGCAGTTGTGCTGCACCAACGTGTTTTCCATTTCCGCTCCTTTCCGCTATGATGCCAAAAACAACCAATAAGGCCACCCAGAATTACTTCGTTGTTTCGGGTCACAGGTCACTCAAGCTGTTTTTCGACGCCTGAACCAAATAACATAACGCGAGCTGAATTTTTGTGTCACGTCAGAAATAACGTGAATCTTTTAAACGTGGCATATCACCCAAAACTTTCACATGGCATTCAATTGACCGTAACTTTGGTGTTTCTCAATGGATTTGAGTGAAATTTTGACCACACACTCCTGCCACTATGCTGGCCCTCTGGACATGATTTAAAAGTTCTTGCGCCTCACTGACAGGCTTTCCAGGCCGGAAAAAACACAAAATTCCGGCATAGCGCCACAGTGTGCGAGCCATCCAGGAGCCAAAAAAATCATTTACATTTTTTTCACATTTCCTTGCCCAGTCTGTCCGTGCGCGGGATCCAAACCTAACAGAAGTCCAGAAGCAGCCATGGGTGGTGGGATAGGGCCCCTCAACGTGGCCCTGAAATCTGTCACAACGGCAGCAGTGGGCGTTCTCTCACAGACTCCCACAGACCCAAGTTGAATTTTTTTAGGTGTAGCACGTGCTACGAGGACGGGTAACGAGGTCGTACCTTTGATACAACATCCAGTGCTGGGACCTCCACAGCAAGCCATTTCCACAGCGCTGCACACCAAATCCAGGATACCCTCAAAAATCGGCAAAGACTACCACTCACGTTAGGCATATGCGGATAATGCCGGCAGAAACATTGGCAGAATTCGGTACTTTTTCTGGTAAGTTTCATACATGTTTAGTATGAGGATAAAGCAATGGAGCAGAATTCGAGGAATTGCCCGCCATAAGGTTTGTATGGTTCTGCCAATTTCACTGCTTTTCGAGCAGAATCTGCCACCTTTTCGAGCATTATCCGCACACCCCTAACTAAAAATCTGTAACAACGGCAGGAGTGGGCGTTCTGTCACAGACTCCCACAGACCCAAGTCAATTTTTGAATTTTTTTAGGTTCAGGGCGTTAAGTCCATAGCTCAGCTGATGAGGGGTGAATTCCCCGAAACACTGTGTATTGAGCAGGGAGTGGTGCTTTCTTGCAGGTTTGCCGAGTCGAAGGTTCGATGGACTTCTCGTGTGCTCTGGATGGCAGTCGTGAGTCAGTCCAGTGTCAAGTAAAGTCGGCGGAATAGCGCGAGCTCCGGTGTGGGGAGCAAACCCTTTCTTACAAATCATTGCCGAAGTCGCAACCATTACTTCGTACTGTTGTGCCCAGCGCGGGCTTGCGACTAGTTGGTTTGGAGGTGACAGCGTTGCGAATGACCGAGGGTCCTCAACGTCTGGTCTCACCGTCCAGGAGCGACACTGACTCACGCTGCTATCTGGTGTTCACGGGGTGTTTGTCGCGCTGGAAATGGAGCGTCTCTGTAAGTTTGTATCCCTGGTGATGTTTGTGCCTGGAGAGCACTATATAAGTGGTGCTCTTCAGGCACAATCTTCCTCAGCCTACTCAAGCTCAACTGATGAGGGGTTAATTCCCCGAAACACTGTGTATTGAGCAGGGAGTGGTGCTTTCTTGCAGGTTTGCCGAGTCGAAGTTTCGATGGACTTCTCGTGTGCTCTGGATGGCAGTCGTGAGTCAGTCAAGTGTCAAGTAAAGTCGGCGGAATAGCGCGAGCTTCGGTGTGGGGAGCAAACCCTTTCTTACAAATTGTTTCACACTTAAAAATAATTCAGCATTTTGAGAGAATATTCGTTATTCGTTCGTTATGGGTGAGTATTCGTTCGCTTGTGAAATAGAATATTCGTTGCAGCCCTAATTTAAATTATAACTAAACCGGGTGGAAAACCAAGAAATCATAACAAACAAAACAAACTAATAATAAAAGGTAAATGAAGCCCAATATCATCAGCATAGTCGAACCAAGGAACAATACCCGTGCCACAATCAAGAGTTCATCCGTAGAAGTCGGTCGCCATCAGCCAGTGTTGGTGCGGGAGGTACTTATGGACATCTTCTTTGAACGTGTGGAGCCGCTTCAAGCTGAGCGGAGCCCTTACAATTTCGCTTGGCAAGCTGTTCCATACCGAGATGACAGAAAACGGGAAGGAGCGAGAAGCATAGGCAGGTGCTCTCCTGTCCAGGACTTGCTGCAGCTGCACATGGTGCTGCTGGCCAGGAGGGGGTTGACTCCGGGTGCGACGAGCTTCTACATGGTTGGCTTGAGGGGGGATCATGGCGGTGAGCTGGGGTGGTCCTGGGATGCACTGGAGCTTTTACAGGTATACCAGCCCAGATACAATTCGGCGGTGGCACATGCTTTGGAGGAGGGCACCAGGGCCAATAATGGCCATTGCACGTTTCTGCACACCGTCGAGTCGGGCGAGGTGGCTGGATGCAGCTCCCATCCACACAAGGGGAGCATATTCAAGGATAGGTCGCACAAAGCCGGCCATGGCAATCTAACACACGGCAAGCCCGACGGACAACACCCAGTCTCTGGCAGCCACGTGTCGCAATCGAGTGCAAGTGATCCCCGATGGACTTGCTAGTCCTCTTCTGCGAGACCGCTTTACCTTGCGCGCCCATGGTGCTCGCACTGCAGCCACCACCCGTGGCCAAGTCTCTGCTGCTCTTGTTCTGCCCCCCCGCTAACACCCGATATGGCTTTAGTGCAATTTCTTATTTGGGCGCTGCCAGGTGGAGTACACTTCCACCGGCTTGCCGCATGTCTAGTTCACCAGCTGAATTTCGCTCATCCATCAAATTATACCTAGGGGTCCCTGTAAAAAGGCGCTGACGCCTGTTGGGAATTCCCTAGTAAAAGAAGAATAAATAATAATAATAATAATAATAATCCCGGAATGACAGCTTGGCGTCAAATGTCACTCCAAGAAGCTTGATGGTGTTGGCTTCCGGAACCGCGATACCTCCAAACTTGATGTCAGGGACAGCAGGGTGTGTGGCTTTCGTAGTCATCAGCAGCTGTTGCGATTTAGAGGACTCGAATCTGATGCGCCAGCGTTCTCCCCACTCTTCAAGACGCTTGAGGCTGGATTACAAGGCGGCAGTCATGTCATTCATATTGTCCTGCGTGCGGATGAGGCTGCAGAGGGTTGTGTCGTCTGCGAATGAACTTAGTCGCGCCTCGGGAGACAGGCACTGATCCAGGTCAGA